TGTCTATTATTAATGTTATTAATGCTATTTTTTTTTCAAAATTATTATTATTATTATTATTATTATTATTATTACGATGTCTTGGGGCAGGTATAAAAAAATTCCGACTGGACATAGAAATGATGATCGGAGCTAAGAGTGATTACTTCTGGTGGTACTGGTACGCGACCTGGGCGTTCATCTCACCTGCAGCTGTCATTGTGAGTTTAAAATTATTGCACTATATAATCATTAGATGATGATGATGATGATGATGGTGATGGTGATGGTGATGGTGATGGTGATGGTGATGGTGATGGTGATGGTGATGGTGATGGTGATGGTGATGGTGATGCTGATGATGATGATGATGGGGATGATGGTGGTGATGGTGATGATGGTGATGGTGATGGTGATGATGATGATGATGATGATGATGATAAAAAAAGCCAACAATAAATAATAACAAAACTGATAGCGACCACAACGACTATGGCAGCAACGACGACCAGGACAACGACAATGATGATGATAATAATATTATCGAAAACGGCTCGTTCTCTTCTCAGATAGTTGGTGGTTGGCGGGTGCTCTGATGTGGTTTAGTAGTTCTTTTCTATCAAACATATATTGTCCTTATCTCTCCTTCTTTTTTTAATATGTTACTCTCTAACAACGCCACTATCTTCAGCAATTATAATAATAAATTTATTATGACCTTAGCGGGTGGATGGAGGGCGCCACTGGTACATCCTATTTCTTCACTTTCCCTTTGTTTTTTCTGTGTCTGTCTTTTTTTTAGCAGCACTTAATGTCCATTATTGTGTCGATGTTTCTCTTTACTCAAACAAGCACACAGACACACAAACACACAGACAGACAAACAAACACGCAAACAAACAAACAAACACAAACACACAAACAAACAAACCCACAAAGAAACAAACAAAGAAACAAACAAACAATACATTATCTATTTGTGTTGCTACTTCCGTAAACCTGATACCAAAAACTTAACGGAAAGCAACTAATCTCCCCAGTTCATCGTGGTGGTCTCCGCCATCCAGTATGTGCCCTCCAAGTACGAGGGTACTGAGATACTTGACTGGGCTGAGGGCATTGGCTGGCTCATGGTCGTCGCTCCCATTGCGGCCTTCCTCTTTGTCGGACTCTACCAAATATGTGCCCTGGGTTTTGTAAGTCTCCATCATTCATTGTTTCGATAGCCCCGAGACAGGCATATAATCAAACATACAAAGAAAAGTAAACAGCCAAACAAATGAATAAGTGAACAAAGCTCGATACTGATCTCGTCTGTCTGTCTGTCTGTCTGTCTGTCTGTCTGTCTGTCTGTCTGTCTGTCTGTCTGCCTGTCTGCCTGCCTGCCTGTCTGTCTGTCTGTCTGTCTGTCTGTCTGTCTGTCTGTTTCTTTATCTTTCTCAGTCTGTCTGTCTCTGTCTCTTTCTTTCTCTATCTCTATCTCAATGTATCTCTCTCCCTCCCCCCCTCTCTCTCTCTATCTTTCTCTCTCTCTCTCTCTCACTCTCTCTCTCTGTCCTTCTCTCTCTCGCCCTCTCTCCCTTTGTGTGTATGTATGAATGTGATGTGTGTGGGAGTGTGTGTTTGTGTGTATGTGTGTGTGTGTGTGTGTGTTTTTTTATATGCCTTTGTGTTTACAGATTAGGTCTTATTATCGTTTACCTGTGCAGTGTAGTGTATGTGCATGCGTATTGTTTTAGTGAGAGGGAAGTAGGGAGTAATCTTCAATGGCCAACCTAAGGTAACAACCCCCAAAGACGGGAAACCAATTTTTACCCATAATCAGAACCACCAGAAAATGACACTTGAGATTCATGGACCACATAAGTCGATCTAATGGACAAGAGAAACTGCTGCCGTGTGGAAAGATAGAAGGGGAAGAAGAGCCGAGGAAGGTAAAAAATAAAAACAACCGACTTGCACAGGTGGCCTGAACAATTTTACAACGAATAACATACAGAGAAAAACCGAGCTGGCCGAGAAGACTGACAAAAGGAAGGAATGGGGTACCACGATCGTAATTGTCTGCTCCAGACCTGACCCCTGAAGAACAAGATAATACTATTTCTTTACCAAGCAACTCCACCTGAGATGCATTATAAATACCCCCCCTCCATCCATAATTGCTTGGACAGGCAGGGTGGAAGTTGCCAACATCCCAAATGTCTAAATTGAAGCAAAACATTTAACACAATTACCGCAAAGAAAGCACATTTTTCCATAGGCTTCTTAAAACATCGCTGACTCTAAACTATTACATGTGCTTCTTTCCGCTTGTTTTTGTTTTGTTTTGTTTTGTTTGCCCGTTTCTTCTTCCTTTTTATTTTCTAACCAAAAAATAAAACTAATATAAATTTGAATATCATATACACAC